AGGAATGAGGATATCCGCAGTAGAACCAGAGTAACCGACATAGCCCAACGGATTAGTAAGCTGAAGTGGCAGTGGGCCGGCCATATAGCTCGAAGAACCGACAACCGATGGGGAAGAAAGGTTCTCGAGTGGCGGCCTCGTACCGGTAGACGAAGTGTAGGGCGTCCCCCCACGAGATGGAGTGACGACCTGGTAAGACATGCAGGAAGTCGATGGATGCAGGTGGCTCAGGACCGTGCTTTGTGGCATTCTTTGGGGGAGGCCTATGTTCAGCAGTGGACTTGTGAAGGGCTGTAATGACGATGATGATGATGAGAGCCACGTGGCAGCTTTTGCAGTCGCACGGATGGGCCGGCTCGAACCGGGGTGGTACCACGACCTCACAGAATACCAGCGTGAATAAGTGGTTTACCTCTGCGTTGCGGTGCGGTCTTGTCTGTGTGGGTGCAGGTGGCCGGAGGCCCAATCACCCCCCCCCCCCCATTGGATATAGTAGCGGAATTAAATAAGACTACCCTCGCTGAGCATCCACGACCAAACTACTCCACTCCTGAGCGTGGGTGCTCAGGCTGCCCGCGTATACTGAAGGGAGGGGGTGGGGCAAAATTCTGCTCGTGACTAATACTGCTCGGAGCAAGCGGAGCAATAAAACCAAGGCGACCCTTGTAACGCTGTCTGTGAATTTTTGCAACATCAGGGGACTTCATTCCAACTTTAACGCTGTCCACTACAGTCTAGAGACGGCGAAGCCGGCCTTGCTCTTTTTAACCGAGACTCAGGTGTCCCCTCCAGCTGATACTTCATATCTCTCCTACCCCGGGTATTAATTAGAACACTCCTTTGTGCCCCGGGCTGGAGTTTGCGTATACGTCAAAGAGGACATCTGTTTTCGACGCCTCGGCAGTCTTGAAGGTACGGACCTGTCCATCCTATGGTTGCACGTAGACAGCGACGATCATCCTCGCGTCTACGGGTGCCTCTATAGGTCCCGTAGCGATAATGCCAATACAGACCGACTCATCGACCACGTCCAAATGGCTGCAGACTCCGCGCTACAACAGGTCCCATCCGCAGAGATCGTGATACTCGATGATTTTAACGCCCACCACGCTGAATGGCTTGGTTCTAGTTTAACCGATCATGCGGGTAGATCTGTCTATGACTTTGCTTTGGCATATGGTATAACACAACTGGTTACTACGCCTACGCGGATCCCAGATATGGGGGATCATGTACCTTCCCTGTTGGACCTTCTGCTGACCTCTCATCCGGACGGATATCAGGTCTCCGTCGATGCCCCGCTGGGCTCTTCGGACCATTGTTTGATCCGGAGTACGGTGCCACACACGCTCCAATCGCAGTAGCGATCTGCAGCTTGCCGCCGCGTTTGACACTATAGGTCGACCGATTGGGACGGGATGCGGTCTTTTTTTGCATCCTACCCTTGGGTTTGCTTCTCGCCGGAAAATCCCAGCGTTGTTGCTGATGTGGTACTTCAGGGTATGGAACTTTTTATTCCATCGTCTGTGGTGCCCACGGAGGCAGGTCCCAGCCATAGACTGGTCGCTCCTGTAAAATAACATCACGCTATAAGCAGGAGTGCTACCGGGCCTGGGCTGACGCATCAACCTATCGGGATGTAAACACCAGCGCTCTTAAAAAGAAGTATAACTCTGCCTCCAGGTCCTTCAAAAGAGTCGTTGCCAAGGCAAGGTCTGAGCCCATCGACAGAATTGGCGAGAAGCTAGTTCGCCTTCCTTTGGGAACCCGTGCATTTTAGTCTCTCGGCAAGGCTGTCCAAGGGAACTTCTGTCAGCCATCTCTTCCATCCATGCACAGAGGGGACGGCTCACTGGCCCATGCCGCAAAGGAGAAAGCCGTTCTGTTGAGCTCTCTCTTTGCGTCCAACTTGACTCTAGATGACGGGGGTTCACACCGCCGACCATCCCGTAGTGTGAGTACTTCATGCCGGATGTACGGTTTATACAGCGCTCGGTTCACAACTCTTCTTCCTGGACGTCAGCAAGTCGAGTGGGCCTGATGGAGTCCCTCCCATTGTGCTGAAGATGTATGCTCCGGAGTCGGCACCGGTTTTAGCGCGTCTTTTCCGGTACTCCTACTCCCAAGGCGTAGTCCCGAATTCATGGAAAACAGCTTTGGTCCACCCGATCGTGTCCAAGGGGGAGGCATTGGCCGTTAGTTTGGACATTGCGAAGGCCTTCGATCAGGTCTGGCACAAAGCGCTTCTTTCGAAGCTTCCTTCCTATTGGCTTCCCGAGAAATTGTGCAAATGGATCATCAGTTTCCTTGCTGATCGGAGCATCAAGGTCGTAGTAGACGGTGCATGCTCTGATTTCAAACCTATCAACGCTGGTGTTCGACAAGGCTGCGCGCTATCATCAACGCTGTTTCTCTTGCTATCAATGATATGTTGCAAACTGGTATCATTCATTGCTATGCAGACGACAGCACTGGTGATGCCTTATATACTGGCCGTGCCAATATTTCTCGAGAAAACGTCGCCGAGTATCGGGACAAACTTGTGTCTGAAGTTGAGTCTTTGCTGAACAAAGTCTCGGATTGGGGGCGACTAAATCTAGTCCAGTTCTATCCCCAGAAGATACAAGTTTGCGCGTTTACCGCTAAAAAGAACCCCTTTGTCGTATCTCCTCAGTTTCAAGGCACTCCCCTTGCTGCCTCAGCTAGCATCGGAATCCTCGGAGTCGACATATTGAATAGTGTGCAGTTTCGTGGTCACTTGGAAGGGAAGGCCAAATTGGCCTCTAAAAAGCTTGGCGTGTTCAGCAGAGCGAGACAGTATTTCATGCCGGCACATCGCTAGCAACTTTACAAAGCGCAAGTTCGTCCTCACATGCAATACTGTTCTCATCTCTGGGCCGGGGCACCCCAGTGCCAGCTCCTTCCACTTGACCGCATCCAGCGCAGAGCGGTTCGAATCGTCGACGACCGAGTTCATTCTGATCGGCTCGATACACTGGTACTGATATTGCATCCCTTTGCATTTTCTATCGAATTTACCACAGGGAGTGCTCTGAGGAACTGGTCGGATTAATTCCAGCCGCCAAATTTCACGAACGCACTTCGCGTCAAAATTCACGATACCACCCTCCATCTGGATGCTTGGCGGTCCACGACTGTACGTTTTACTAGGAGTTTTCTTCCTCGTACAACTTCTCTGTGGAATTGTTTACCACCGGCGATTTTTCCGGACCGATACGACTTAGGGACCTTCAAGAAAAGAGCTTACACCTTTCTAAAAGGCCGGCAACGCATCTGCAATTCCTCTGGTGTTGCGGTTTTTTATGGGCGGCGGTAGTCACTTACGATCAGGTGAGCCGCATGCTCGTTTGCCCACTCTTCTATAAAAAAAATATATCAAAAAACATGCGAATACTGGCGTTTTTCTGGCAGTGTGGTATATAATACTACACTAATATGTTATCAAGCAGTCTGTCCAGTACTTTCGACATAATAGTGGACAAGGATATTGACATATAATTCGAAATATCAGAGGCATACCCTGTCTCATTTTTAATAATAGGCACTGCAACAGTTTTAATAAGCTCCGCCGGTAAGTAACTATGACTTAAAAATAAACTATAAAACATAGCAACATAGCGAGGTAAGTGAACACCAGCATATTTCAGGTGTTCAATGCTCAAACCATCATAACCGGGTGATTTCCTTCTTACATTCGTTGCAGTGTCTCTAATGATATTATCCAAGCTCCCAGATAGGGTTCTTGGCTAATATATTAGCCAAGAACCCTATCTGGGAGCCATCCGGATAGGAAGCCCGAGCATCGGTCACCCTCTCAGTATTTAGTACTGGAGGCTCGACCATAAAATGCTTACGAATGGCATAAGCGATTTCAAATGGCCCACACCCCTGCCACACTCACAGGGAGGCTCGTCTTGTGATTTAAATTTTAGTGGAATCCCAGAATTTACTAAACTGTTTTTGCCAATGAAACTGAGCAATTTTGCCCATTTTCATTTATAGTTGATGGTCCTGTAGGGATTTTAATTAGATGTATAATTATTGAGTTATACTTCGAGTACATTGTCTATTTATTTCATACCTTTCCTACGAACTGGTTCTCCTATAGTTCCTGGAACTGGTTGGTAGGAAAGGTATGAAATAAATAGACAATGTACTCAAGTATAAGAACAAACTGAGCAATTCCCTTTCTGAGGATTTAAGCATCAGTCTGGTGATGCTGCTGATGCTATTACACACATCCCTTCACTCTAGCTGGAAAGGGCCCCGAGAATTGCACTGCCTAAGGGCCCCGACATGGTTAATCCGGCCCTGGGCGAGACTTACGTTTAAATGTTGTCCTCTATGGTGGCACTACTCAGGAGGCGTACAGCATCGTTCCGGGTGGAATCTTGCAACTCAAATTTCGAACACTTTTCGATGAGCTAGAGACTTGAAATTTTGAACATCGGCTCAGAATCGGATGACAATGTAGAAATAAAAACGTGGTATATTATTATTTTTTGTACAAAATAAAAAAAATCAATTGTTTATGTGTGAAAAAGCGATATCTCCGAAATTAGTTAAGTAATAAAGGTGATTTTTTTAATGTACCCATAAAGTACTTTACTCTGTAGTAAGACACTCTTATTCTGTCTAAGAGTCTGTCTGGGCTGGTAGCCTCCTCATGCCTATTTGTATATCCTCCTCATGCCAAACAGCAGTGCTTACAGGCTGGTGAGAGGCATTCTATCTTAGTCCTCAATATCAATGCTTCTGTAGCTTTCTTTGTTTGAAGTTGGTTGCGGTGGCCCATGGGCGTACAGTAGCCAGTTATTAGCAGCTGAAAGCTCGTTTGTCACTTCAAATATGAATTCGAACAAAAAGTACCCTTATAAAGTAGTCCCATAAAATTTCGGAACCAAAAACAATTTGAGACGATTATACGAAAAACTTACGAGGTATTCCTTGAGAAGGGCTTTTAAGCAGAGACAATAGTTGCAAAACTTTTTACTGTGAAAATATCATACACTCACAACACGAACAGTACTTATAGGTGTTTTTACTTATTTGCAAACAAACATGAGTGCTATAAAAATAATTTTACTTAACTATTCCTAAACACTGTAAGCACCAACACTGTTTCACCAACATATTTATTCATCTAGTTTACGGTAATATAATTATTTTAAGCACTAGTTATAATTAAGAAAGTAACAAAAAGCCGATACAAAGAAAATATATCACAAAATATTTTTATCTCTATGTATAAAAATCAATTGCTGTACGTTGGTCTCCCTAAAACCAGAAAACGGCTGGAACGATTTTGATGAAATTTTTTGTATGCGTTTGATTGGGTTCCTGGATTGTTATGAATTTCAGTTGGACCCGGTAGGTGGCGCTGTAGTCGAAATCCAGAAATCACCCTTGCGAAGCCGGGCGGATCATTAGTTCATAATAATTATTAACATTTTCCTATTATATACCTTATAGGGAGGTATGTTCGAAATCAGCGTTTCTAATTATATTCATATATATTCAAGTTAAGATAATAAAAATTGATTTTTATTCTTTTTTGTGTAAATATTAAAGCAAAAATTACGTAGCCGCAAGGCTGGCAATATTAAATTACATGGGTTTTATTCACAGTTGTACACAGAATTATCACAAAATGTCTTATTTATATAATACATCGTAACATATAGTAATCATTTCAATTTCTCTGCTTGTATGGCGAAAGCTAGAAGTTGCGACTTCGATAGTTCCCATCTATTAGAAAATGGATAATATATCATTCCATAAGTCAACTCAACGTGGCAATTATCTGAAACAAACAAATAATCCGAGTTATTTATGTGTTGAAAATATCTTCAATATGTCGGAAATATCGTGAATACATAAGAAAGGTTAGTTGTTAAAAAATAGTAAATGTGTGTGTGAATTCTCTCAATGTAACACAGGGCTGCCTCTTAGCAACACCATCCTCCTTGCCTGCACCAGAAGAACCACCACAACGAACAGAAACATGACACATCTTAGGGACTCACAGAATGACTAAGCCGAATTTGTTGCGAACGACGCCTACAGTGAACTTTATGCTGCACAAATGAGTGGGGGTATCTCGATATACCATCAATTATTCTACCACGCAACCATTGATATGACACTCCGCTAGAGTGATACAAGCTCTCGCCCACTCTCGATCCATCTGGTATTTTATAGACGCGTCGATATAAATAATTAAAAAAATACTGTTAGAAAATATTGTTAATTTCTTATTTATAAATAAAGAGATAGTAATCCACAAGACGGTAAGCAGCTACTGCAGACAATAGAACTGTAACAAACTTCTAACATAAATTATAATTGATTCATTGCTATAGATGTATTGTCACTTCTGAGTACTAAATCTGGCTTTGGAGCCACCAAACTAAACATGAACCTACCAACCAGAACACAAAAGTGGATGCGTTGCTACTTGGCGACAGGCGGTAAATGTAAACATACAAGACTGTTGGGGCAACGCGAAAAAATAAATGAAGAATAAAAAACGTGTACAGTTCACACGCGGTAACGTGAAACCAGCAGAAAAAAAAAAACTACGAGAATGAGACTAATGTGGAGTATCGGGAGTAGGATAATTGTAGTGTTTCTTTATTATAATAGTGTTACCAAGTTTAAAAATTATTTTACATTTTATTTTTCATATTACGTTAGATATTATATTTAATTAACTAGAAAATATTTAAGTAACTACTTAAATATTTTCTAATCAACAAAATGATTGGCCATGGAATGATTTGGACGAGACTAAAATCAATTTTTTTTTTAATAGGATACGGTGACAAACGAGCACACAGTCCACCTGATGGTAAGTAGTTGCTGTGGCCCATAGACATCTACATTTATCCTCCTTTGCGAATCAAAATGCAGATGCGTTGTCACCCGTGAGGCCTAAGATGGAATGCCTCTTTTCCAGTAAAAAGGGTCTCCGGTGCTCTACACTCACCATACGAAACACAGCAGTGTAGTTACTGCTTGTAATGTTTATATGTGGGTGACAAATAGTGCTGTACCGTCTATCTTATGCTTCCACATACAGCCCGCGGTGAAGGATCATGTCTCAGATCAATATATCATCATTGGCAACATGCATTGACGAGAAAATATATTGTGATCTCCCGAACGCTGCCCATCTGAGTTAAATCCGTCTATTGACCTCTCGGTCGAAGTTGGAATTATCTAGTCAGACAAGTTGTACTGGATAAACATACTCGTCGATACCTTCGAGCTCGAGGAACCGATGGCGAAGAAAGGTTCTCGTAACGGTAGGCGAAGTGTAGGGTGACCCGTCACTAGATGGAGTGACGACCTGGTAAGACATGCAGGAAGTCGATGGATGCAGGTGGCTCAGGATCGTGCTTTGTGGCATTCCTTGGGGGAGGGCTATGTTCGGCAGTGGACTTGCGAAGGGCTGTATGATGATGAAGAAGAAACTAAATTACAGATGTAGATTAGACCGAAGGCCCCCACTCCCACACAAGAATTTCACCTACATTGTGGAATCATTTAACATAAATAAATTGCATCATTGGCAAACATCGAATACAGTAACAATGCATCTGCATTTTGATTCTTAATCAGGGATAGATGTGGGTCTTTATAGGCTGGAGCATCCACTGACGTCAGGTGGAGTGTCTTCGCTTGTCACCCTTATTCTATTAAAAAAATCTAAGCTAGAAACTAGACATGGAACTAGTAGTGATTCGCCGAGAACTAGGCCACAGGGTACTCGGCCTAGATTTGGCTGAGTACTCTGCCGAATACTCGGCTTTAAAAAACGCGGTAGCGAGCGGCGTGCGGTTATTTCCCTTACAAACTATACCCAAATAGGGCCAAAAAACTAGTGATTTTGCATCACAATCTTCCTTTCTTAAATTTTAAATATTAGTAATAATGATCTTTATATATAAAAATTATGTGTCACGTTGTTTGTCCGCAATGGACTCCTAAACTACTGAACTGATTTCAATGAAATTTTGCACACTGTGTGCATTTTGGTCCAACTTGAGAGATAGGATAGTTTTTATCCCGATAAATGACCCTCAAAATTTTTTATTGTGAACTTAAGAATTTTTATATGAAGGGTCGTTGGAAAGGGTAGAACAACGTCTACCTGGCGAGCTAGTTTCTATTATAGATTCTTATGTACGTTCTAAATATTTCTGCTGCTTCTCATGTTCCTGATGTTTTAATGTGTCTAATATAATAATAAAAACTGGCTTTCTGTCTATTTTTCTCTGGAATATAATTAAGACCGAGTACTCGGTACTCGGCCGTTAATACTCGGTACTTGGCCGAACCCTAAAAAAGGCCGAATCCGCCAAGTACCGAATCCAAACCTACTAGAAACAATATTTTTTAGGCTTTACAAATAGTTGATTTAATATAGAATGTAGCAGCCATACCTAGAACCAATGCACTACTGATTTATTATGTAGTTTAGCTTAAAACATAGAAATTAAAAATATATTACTAACTTCTTTCCAACAAAAAAGTGAGCTCCGGCGATGTCATAAATTTATCATACTGATGAGTGCCTCGAGGTATTATATTTAAAACATATTCTGCAACATATATTCCTAATATTTGGGTGATTCTTGACCTGTTTGGCGTAGTAACAAATATTTTTCCACCAGGCTTAAGTGTTTCAACACATGCCTTTACAAATATTTCTTTATTGTAGACATGTTCTATTACTTCAGAGGCAACAACTGCATCATAATAATCTTTACGTTCTTGAGAGTGCTCCTGAAATTGTAGAAATTGATTGATTTAAATTTACCAGAACACAAGTGTCAAGTTCTTCAAGTTTTACATACTGCACATAACCAAAAAATTTAATGTATTTAAAAAAATTAAAATTACCTCAACAGTAGTGCAGAAATATGAAGGCAGATTATTTGCTAATTTCGGATTATTTTTACTATGTTCCGTTGCCAATTCTATAAGATCTTTCCCTGCATCAATACCAGTAACACTTGCTCCTAATTTCGCCAAACCCTAAAAATATATACATTAATGTTTCTTCAATTACATTGTTTATAAAGAATAAAATATGTTGAGTAATATGGCTTGCAGAGTGGAGGCGGTGTTAGAGAATCTATCACATTACACTTTTCGTGATTGTCGTTAGAGGTGACCATTAGAATCTCCAGAGAGATCTCATGAATTAGCAGTATAACTATTCCATTAACGCCAAACACCCAGACCATAATCATAGGGAGGATTTGCTTTTAATTCAACAAAGGAATAAATACTTACAATAAAAAATTTGCTTCATGGTAAAGTTCCAAATCCAGCAGTGAACTTTTATGGGTTGATGAAGAAGAAGACGGTCTGCAGAGGCAGGGTAGAGAAACTCTCCATTCTTTTGAATGTATTAGAGTGTGAGAGTAAGTGATGTAAGAGTAAGAGTGAAATAGTAAATGTCGGCAGTAATTGCTCTCCTCATTGATGTAATGACAGTATAATAAATTTTTTTAATAAACATTACCCCCACTAAGATTTTCTCCTGTATCGTGGAGGCAGTTTACAAACATAAATTGCACAAGTACAAACATCCACACCCTGAACAATTTTTTGCATGCCATACAAATACTTGTTCCGTGCGGGATTCGAACCCGTGGCCCCGAGCACAGCTACTCATTGCTAAGCCACTGCACCACGGAGCCGCCAACTTTGACAACATCATTTTGTGTATGTAGGATGTAAGCTGATGACAACTGGCATACTCTTTGACAGGTCTATGTAGATTCAGTATTAACTTAAAATGCTGCATGTACTTATAACATTTGTTATTAATGTAAAATATATTTTCTCTTTATTTTTAGCTTTATTTACTCCCTCTCCATAAAAACCTTTACTATGCCACACATGCATGCATGCCATATGCTTTAAAGGGGATACAAAGTTATCCCTTCACAAATTAATATAATAGCTCCACTCTATTAGTGATATTTTGAAGTCAGTTCCTGAAAAGTCTTAATGTTGCTCAACAACTTCCAATATCTAAATCATTTTTGTGACCACAATGTTAATATGGGGAAGAAATGTTCTCTGTGACAAAATTGAGTGACAACCTGGTAAGACATGATAGAAGTCGATAGATGCTTGTGACTCAGGACCGTGTTTTGTGGCATTTCTTGGGTGAGGCTTATGTTCAGTAGTGGACCTTTGAAGGGTTGTAATGATGATGTTAATGCTAATATTGACTAGATATGCATATGGTCAAAAATTCACTTATTTAAAAAGAAATAACACTCTTACCTCAGATAAAATGCCCCCTCCACAACCAACATCCAATATTTTTTTATCTTTTAATGGAGTAGGATCTCTTTCATCTGGAGAACACTGCACCAGACCATCTCTTACAAAGGGTATACTGAAATTTTTTAATACATGCCATTAGAAAATAATATCACATTTAAATTTGACACAGGAGCAGTAATAATTAAATTTAATAATTGATAAGAGTATCCTGGAATTCTCCACACTTGCAGAGATGCATGATGTGAGTGAAGCCTTTTTGTTTGAGAAATGAGAAATCAGGGTTATTTTCAATATTGCTTAATCTTTGTTTTTACTATATATGGATAAAAGATTATCAAAATCTCTATAGACAGCCTGAATGAGGATAATTGCCGTCTTGTTGTAGACTAAACTAGATTTTAAACTTATGGGAACATGGGAAAATTTGGTCTATAGTTTAATAAGAACATAATATGATGTATTAAAACTTATGGGCAGCTGCAATATTCTGATAACAACTTAATTAATAAATAACTGCGGTTGCTATCTGCCTGTCAAGCACGGTAACTATGACAGAACCCTTCCTACGAGGCAATCTATGAAAGAGGCATATGTTCAGCAGTGGACTTTTATAGGCTGTAATGGATGGACGGATGGATATATATGTATTGACAGCTTTTTTATTAGTTATTTCTGCTGTTCATTATCATCATTATTCAACCTCAGTGCAGACGCTCAGAAAAGTGATGGCTCAAAAAACACCAAGGGACATGTGATGCAGTATTCCAGTACATCCAAGATACCATATTACTGATGGCACATGGACATGACATGGACTTATTGTTTGAGCACCCTGAATACACTGATTGCATAATTCTTTGATGCTTTGAACTCTAATTATGTTACATAATGATTTCTTATAATTTCGTAATCTAAAATGTAATCTTTAATTTTTTTCTTTAATTTTAATCTAGAGGTAGCCATGGTTAACTTACATTGAGAAGTCATACACCTCAGTCCCCCCGTGACCGTGGGTGCTATAAAGTGCTTGAAATGTTGGGAATATAAAATAAGTTAATACATGCAATAAAATCCGTAAAACTAGTTTTATTTAAATCTAATTAGGTTAGCACACAGAACATATGATAAGTCAGCCAAAATATTAACTTGGCTCAAGATTGTCAACAACAAGCTGTTTAATGACAAGACTATGTTCCATACAACATTTGCTTTGTGGTTATCATTTGTCAACTTTCTTCTTCATTTGTTCTCAATGACAAGCTTTAAAATTGAGAACATATTATTTTATTGTTGATGTTACTCTTTTTTTCATACATTAAAACCAAAGTTTTAAAAGTGATATTCTTACTGTCCTATTACTTCTAACATACCGTATCAAGTTCAAACTGTGAAGACCTTTTAGTACTCCTTGTTCATCCCACCAGTCTTTCGTAAGCTGTCCATGTCTATACACATCTTCGGGATCAATAGTTGTGTTTGTTTTCTTTTGGTTCTGTTGAGCACAGCTGGGTGATCCATGCATTAAACATTTTTTGACATTGATTGCACTAAAATTACAAAATCCATGTAATCTTTTAAATACATTAATATTAAATGCATTAAATAATTTGGTACGACTTTCCATTGACGTCCGAGTTTGGTGTTGATACGTATTTTTACAGAAAGATTACATTTTTATAAGCACACACACAAAGTTTCAATATGCGGAAACATGTAAGGTATCAAATGACGATTCAATGTTAACTGATTATTATTCAAGCTTACACATTATTATTCTTTTTTACTTAAATCTATTTGATATGATAATTCAATACACAAAAATGTAAATAATTACTTCATTTATATTATTATGTATTAGATGTGTATGCAATCAAAATTATTTTGGCATATAGGGTAAACTACCCAATCGTTGGCACTCCTCCAATTCTTGGCACTTTAGTGTTTAGTTCGAAAAAACAAGGAAACCATACATTATTCAAGTTCGGTATGCATTAAAAAGTAAAATAGTATTATTTTTCTATTAAAAATTGGCCACACTGTTGCAATAACCAATATGGCAATTCAGAAACAACAGCTGACATTTTGTGCTAGTGACTTGGTGTAATTATTTTGATTTTTTCTTAAGGTGAGAGCTTTATTAATCATAGTATATCGCAGCTACTCGGCTAATTGTTGCTTTCAAAATAATTTGATATACTTAATTACACCTTTAGGCATTAGATTTACAGATTATTTCTTGAATATTTTTATCACATTTTATTTATTACCTGTATACCTGTACCAACATATGGAACAATAATTCTATCAAAATTCCTTTATTGGCACTAATGCCAATAATATGAATTTTTCGAATGTTATCAACAAGCGAGTTTATGATATATTTGTAAAGGTTTTAAGTTAAATGATTGTTTGCCCATCGTAAATTTTTTATTTAATAGCAATTTCCAAATGTTGGCCCACTGTGCCAATAGCAAAAGCTAATTATTGGCAGTAGTGCCCATAATAGAATATTGACTGCTAATAATAGGTATTTTATTCATTTAGAGTACGTCGTAAACAATGAAGGAACTAAATTAAAAAAACACCAATAAAAAGAAGTCAAGAGGAAAAATAGAAAAAAAATAAACGAAACCAATATAGTGAGGAAAATATAAAAAGCTTTAGACGCGATTAAAATGACATGGCTAAAATCAAGCAGCAAAACAATATCAGGTTCCTCGAGCTACGTTACAATTTTGCATTAAGAAACCACATCATAACCCTCAGCCTGGTCCGAGGCCAGTACTTAACACAGACTAAGAGAATAAATTAAAGAATTGGTTAAATGTTAGCCATCCAAAGGGTTTTCCTAAACGAAAAGATCAAAAGATAAGCGTTAATAAATAGCGTTAGTAAATAGTAATAGCGTTTAAGAATTTATATAAAAAAGCGGCCGATCTAACCCGTTCAGGGACAACATTCGCAGAGATAAATGGCTTAAACTCTTCTTACAGCAACACACGGAAATTGTTGGTAAAGCTCCTGAAGCTATAACAGCGGCAAGTGCTGCAGTATTAGAAAATGATATAAAAGGATGGTTTCAAAAAATTGAAACGGGACGGACTCCAACGCACATCATCCCCTTTGGGGAATGGAAAAACCAAATGAACGAGGTAAAGTTTTAGTCGAATATTTATTTAGTACTAACCTAACCATTTTAAACATAGGTTCTGAACCTACTTTCATAAACAAACGCTGTCGCACTATAATCGACCTCACACTTGCAACAGAAGGAGCAGCCAAACTAATTACGGGATGGCATGTGTCGAGAGAGGCCTCATGCTCAGACCATAGATGGATCTGCTTCGCACTACAGGTCGATATCCCCTCTACACCACCATGGAGAAATCCCCGCAAGACAGATAAAACAAAATACCTAAATAGGCTGACGTCTTTGCTAGCGGATTTTGAGGGGATAAATACTATAGCAGATCAGTCGCTCCTAGAAGAACAGGTAGCAGCTGTTACTAAGGCCATGATAGACAGCTACCATGAATCATGTCCAGAAATCACTCCACCAAGACATGCCGAGGTAAAACAACCGTGGTGGGGTAAAGAACTCGATAGAAAACGTAAGAAGGTAAGAAAAGCTCTAAATAGGGCCATGAATACCTCAATGGATGAAGACTGGCTATTATATAAGAAAGCTAAGTCTGAATACAAAAAATGTAGCAGGTATCGACGCTCGATTGGGTGGCGTAAATTCTGTGGCAACATAGAAACCTGCAAACAAGCAAATAGGATTAGGAATATTCTAGCTAAACAGAACACGTCGGGATCTATGTCTCTAAAGAAACCCGACGGTAGCTACTCAACATCGCCGGATGAAGCCCAACGCATCCTAATTGAAACGCACTTCCCAGGTTGCTGCGTAACCCAGGAGGCAAACCGGCATGACGACATACTGACATCAACAGCAGAAGACTGGAATTTAGCACAGAGAGTGGTAACAATGGACAAAATCCATTGGGCCATTCACAGTTTCCTCCCCTATAAGGCGGCAGGACCTGACGGCATATTCCCGGCACTCCTACAGTGGGGGGGTAAAGCCCTAATAGTCAGACTTGCTGCCATAATGCGAGCCTGTCTTGCTCTTAAATATGTTCCTAGGGGATGGAGGGAAGTGAAAGTTACATTCATACCCAAACCAGGTAAGAGCGACTACACTGACCCTAAATCCTACAGGCCCATTAGCCTCACATCCTTTCTCCTAAAGACGATGGAGAGGATGTGTGAAAGGGAATTAAGGGGGTCGGCGCTAATGAACTTACCACTGCACGACAAGCAACACGCCTACAGTCTAGGCAAATCAACAGAATCGGCCCTTCATAAGGTAATTACAAAGATTGAAGAGGCCATCCAAAACAAAGAAATATGTCTAGGTTCCTTCATAGATATAGAAGGTGCTTTTGACCGAACGAACTTCTCCAGCATAAAAGGTGCACTCGGTAGACACAAAGTTGAACCGGCACTGATCGACTGGATAGTTTACATGCTCAGTACACGAATAATAAAGATTGCTGGTGAATCTCAACCAATCCAAATTAAGAAAGGCTGCCCGCAGGGTGGGGTTCTCTCACCTCTCCTGTGGAATATGGTCATTAATGAACTCATCAGCAAATTAAATAACAATCACTTCTATACAGTAGGTTATGCTGATGACCTGACAATACTGGTCTCTGGAAAGACAGCAAGCATAACGTGCGACCTGACCCAAGCGGCTCTCCGTATAGTGGAGAGATGGTGCAGGGAACACGACTTAACCGTCAATCCAAATAAAACGGTTTTAGTTATGTTCACACAAAAACGAAAGCTGAATAACTATCATCCTCCAAGTCTTTTTAGCACAAAACTCCAGCTATCCTCTGAGGTAAAATATTTAGGTCTTACCTTGGACAGCAAACTTAACTGGAATAAACACATAGAAAACAAAACCAACAAAGCTAGTATAACTTTCTGGCAATGCAGAAACATGATTGGCAAAAGATGGGGATTGACGCCAAAAATCATACTGTGGCTTTACAAAACTGTAATTCGGCCCATGATCACATACGGCGCTCTGGTATGGTGGACCAAGACAAACGAAGCCACCATAATTAAAAAGCTTCAGCGCTACCAGAGACTGGCATGTATGGCTGCCACAGGCTGCATGAGAACTACGCCAACAGCAGCCTTAGAAGCGATGCTGGAGCTAACTCCGCTTCATCTACATATACAACAAGAAGCGACTTTAGCTGCCATCAGACTTAAGACCCTAAATCTTTGGAGTAAGAATAGTGTCCCTCATACAGGCATAATTGATAGAATTCACTCAAAAATTCCTATCCTACAAGCCAAATACGATAGGATTCCTAAACAATTTGTTTTCGATAAGAAATACAAGATACAGTTAAATGAAAACAACCAGCCGGAAGGATTAAGCCCAAAAGAGCTTAGAATTTTCACCGATGGTTCTAAAACAAATGAAGGTGTAGGTTCTGGAGCTTTCTCTGAAGACCTCAATATTCACATATGCACACCGCTGGGTACCTATAACACGGTCTTTCAGGCGGAATGTATGGGTATCATTCAAGCGGCCATAGCAATAGATGCTAGGAAGGTTAATGACTTCCCCATCAGAATACTGACCGACAGTAGGGCGGTACTCCAAGCCCTGAGATGCAATGTGGTGAACTTGGGACTAATATATGAATGCCATCAACGATTAAATGAGGTATGTAAAAACAACAATGTGACCCTGCAATGGATAAAGGGACACAGTGGATCCAGAGGCAACGATGCAGCAGACGAACTGGCTAGAAGAGGATCGGCTTTGGCCACTATAGGGCCGGAACCAATCATACCAATCCCCTTTGGTAACGTTTGTTCACTGGTACGTAGACACTTCACTAATCAACACGCTCAGCTTTGGAAAAATCTAGTAGACTGTAGACAAGCTAGGGATGCCCTGCCTGAAATTAACAGTCGCTTAACAAAAGTTTTAATGAGACTGAACAAGCCGCAGATTAGGATAGTAACAAGTGCTATCACAGGACATGGCACCTTTAACAAACATTTATTTACTATAGGTGTTACAGATAGTCCCCTGTGCAGGGCATGTATGGGGGAGGAAGAAACGGCGGCCCACGTGCTAATGAAATGTCCGGAGGTCGCTACATACAGGGCTAAACATCTCGGCACGCCGGGATCACTCCCCGAAGTTGCATGCAACATCAAGGGCCTGTTGAGCTTCTTCGGAGAGATCTCATGGCTCGAATAATCACATTATTCCTGCCCACACGCAAAATACGCGCATAGACGTGGAGTTGCGGAAAACAGCCCGTCGTAAACTAAACTAAAAATTGAAATATATCTAAAAGCTCACGGTTTGTTTGAAATTATATCAGACCTGAAAAGTGTCTTGAATGGTGACAAAATCAGTTTTGTTCTTTGCACAAAAACAGGTGTGGTCTTGGCACCAAAGGGTGCAAAGAATGTTTACGAAATCGACCACGCCCCAGATAAAAGTTCACTAACAGTGATGTTTAATTTTGCTGCCAATTGTGAAATCACCCCACCTATGTGATATTCCCGTACAAGCACTTGCTAAGGAACTACAACAACAGCATAAAAATTAGACAAAACTGAACAAATGCTAAAAAAGAAAAACGTGTCAAAAAACACGAAACTACGGAATCTGCAAAAAGAATATTATTTTCATATAATATATTAAAATGAAGTAGAATTGATACAAGAAAAAGATAAAAATAAAATAGAATTAATACACAAAGAAGATAAAAATAAAGTAGTATTGAAACAAGAACAAATTAATACAGAGAAAAGGGAAACTAATAAAGAAAATTACACAGAAAATAGTCTGAAACAAAAACTAAATTTTAACAGTATTGAAAAAGAAAAATATGATATAAAGAAAAAATAATTAAGCAAGTGCTAAATAAGCCAAAGAAAGAGGATACCAAAAGTATTTTGAAGAATGTTTTATATTCTGAGGAAGCATTGTGCAATATGGATGAAGACGAGAAATTGGATGATGATAGTCATATCAGAGCTAACAAAAACTTAAGCATAACTGAAATTGAGAAAATGTTGACCGATGATTAAGAATAAAATACTACTTTTTAATCGGTTCCAGTAAGACTGTAAACTACCTACATAAAATACTAAAATAGGTAGGGAGAGTATTAATTGAGTAAGTTCTTAATCAGACTGATTGATATTTTAAAGGTAGGTATTAAAAGATCTCAAGTATAGCCATTTAAGTACTGACAAAGAGAGACTGCCAAAATGAGTACTTAGAATAAGACAGTGTTAATGTAATAAGAGTTGAGTTTAGGTATTTTATGAAAACTTTACGGTAGAAAACGTACCTAAATAAAAGCAGATATTTACCTAGTAAAACAGTGTTTTAATTATACCCTAGGTATACGTACGTATTTATTTTATTTTATTGATAGGTAGGTACCATCTCCTACTTTAACTACATGCCAATAATTAGACGAGTAGATGCCAATATTGAGAATTTCTATGCCAATAATAGGATTTTCTGTAGTCTTTAGGATTTTAGTGTAAAATATTTATTTAATATTATTCAATCACATAAAAATGATTACGAAAACGAGGAGTAATGTATTGTCTTTGATTCTGTCACGTTTTGTCTACTAGCTATTGTAAATAAGATTTTATAGTAATTTAATTTCCAACTGACACGAAGCTCACTCTTAAAGTGCCAAGAATTGGGTGGTTTACCCTAAATAAAAATATTTGTAGCAAAATATTGATAAAACTTACCATCTTGTCTGTAGAACATTCACTATGCTAGGGATTCTTGGGACTAGTTTCATTTTTAACATTTATAAGTACATTGGTAAAAGAGATTTTTTTATGTGCTTAACAGAGATACAGTTTTCTAAAAATAATAATAGTATATTAATTATAAATGCGCTAGCACTTCTTACTAGTTTGTGATTATCACAAACTATATAGAAACACGTGATCACAGAACACTAATACCCACTAATACCCTTACACGTGATTATAAAGTAAACAAAACACAATATCCAATATCGATAAAAACTATGGATGTGCCAACATGGAAAAATTACAACTCGCAACTCGAGTTGAAATTCACGCAACTCAAGTTTAAACTCGAGTTACGCAATTCGAGTTAGCAGTATGAAACAGAGTAAAGGATTTGTTACAAATTACTTTTTTATGAATTTGTTTTCTATATAGCTCTTTGGTGGGTTGGGATAACTATAATTACCAAACTTATTATATAGGATTGAAATAAAAAAGTATATTTAGTATCTATCACATACTTATGTATTTTTGGTTTTAATATTAGTTAAAGTAAGTACCTGTATTTAACGACAAACTCTTCAGCTCTTCACGAAATAATATTAATGTAGCTTTAAGATGTAGGTACATAAGCTACATCTATAGTGTATTATCTATGAGCTACATCTAGTTTAATTATCACAGTAAAAATATTCTTAAATAAATTCAAACTTTTTCAAATTCAAAATATTTATTGTAAATTAAGTGTTACATTTGGCGTTAATTTAAAATGTGATGATGTATCTTACAACCTAAACACCCTTTTCGGGTATTATAATAATAGGTCTGTGACTTACGTAACTATAATGATCATAATTAATAAAAATTATAAATGAAATTAAATTACACAACTTAGCTATTATAAATCTCTAAATAACAAATTGTTTTGGCTGTAACTAAATACTATTTGAAATACAAAGCGCGCCCACAATGAACGAATCGCACTCTTACTCTTTGCCAAAGAGTATAGTAATTGCTCTTTGCTGGCTCACTTGATTCTTTCATGTACAGTAGCCCTAACTCGAGTTAACACGAGTTAGGGATATTCGATATACATCGATGCATCGAATTCACTCGATGTTTACAATACGATGCATCGAATCGATCCGATGATTTGGAAAGTTATTGATATACTCGATGTATCGATGTATCGATGTATTTTCATAAAACATCGAATCAATGATAACCAGTCAATTGTAAAAAGGTATACTTACATATCACTATTAATATTATAACTTCTAAATCAGAAAAACTAAAACGTGTTCTGATTTAGAAGTTATAATATTAAACCTGTTGGTGGCGTTAGTTGGCAGCTGTCAGTCCCTTAGCGGAATCAAGAAATTGAGATTGGCTGGTTGTGTATTAAAGAGAATCTAAAGAAAATCGTCTGGTCTGCCTTGGTCTTAAGGAGGCTACTCATTTGCGTGCCACAGGGGCAATTTTGACCGAAAAGCGATCGGGGCGATATCAGAACTGTCTCTACACACACGCCTGCCATTCTATGGGAGAGTGTACAGTCTCACTGGACACACGCATTGAAAATGGAGCCAGTTTTGTCAAAATATAAATACGTTTATTTCGGTAATTTTGTTAACAACATAATACTGAGACTTCCCGGTGAGTAATCAGAGGATACGCGTGTTGGGAATGACCCGCTACTTCAAATGAATGAAGAAAAAAAAATAGTAAATAATAATCATAAAATAAACTTCAAATGAATCGGTAAATATAGCCTTGGCTCTTTTTTTTTATATAGAATAAGGGTGACAAATGAGCACAGTCCACCTGATGTTAAGTGGATACTGTGGCCCATAGACACCCATATTTATTGATAAAACAAGTAATTAATTAATAATTACACCCGCAACACAGTCCTTAAAAGCTGTAGCATGACTCTACCAAGTTTAGAAACGTTACGACGTTCAAATAACGTTCTTTCTGCAGTGCTACCACAAAAAAAGACAAAAAGAAGATACTGGGTGAAGAAGCTGCTCTTTATACACTTATCATCAGTGTCCGAATTTCATATTTTTTATTAGAACTGATTGAAATTGCCGTTATTGCGCTACATACGTGGAAGCGGTAGCTGTGATCTAGGGAGCAAGGAAGGTCTTGCGCTCATGTCGCTCTGCCGCAGGGCCGTCTTAGAAAATTGCCCCTGCTTTCATACACACATCGCAATTAAGGAGGCAATTAAGGGTCATTCCCACTCCTACACCCTAGATTGCCCCTGCAGCAGGCAAGTGAGCAGCCGCCTTTAGACCATTTAACCCAGTGGACTCCTCTGGCGTAATTCTGACCCCTCTGCCAAGGTATTGGATTTAAAAGCTTGTGCGTTTATAAAAACTGCTTACGAAATCGATTTTATCATTACAAGAATCGTTTCCGCCGAAATAGGTGCTCTTTAAAAAATGTCGATCGGTGCGGTTAACGTGTTTTTTTTTTATAGGATAAGGGTGACAAACGAGCACACAGTCCACCTGATGGTAAGTGGTTGCTGTGACCCATAGACATCTACATTTATCCTCGATGAGGAATCAAAATGCAGATGCGTTGTCACCTGTGAGGACTAAGATGGAATGCCTCGTTTCCAGTAAAAAGGGTCTCCGGTTCTCTACACTCACCATACGAAACACAGCAGAATTAAGCTGCTATTTTACGCTGGTATTCTGTGAGAGCGTGGTCCTTCCCCGGTCGAGCCGACCCATTCATGTTACAACTATTAAAATACCAGAAATATAGCTGCAGCATGGCTCTACCACGTGTGCATAAAGCAGTCAAAATACTTAAAATTTACAAAAAGATGGAGTTATATTCCATATGTAAGTATTTTTATTATGATGCATGCTTTTTTTTATTGAAACCATTTAAAATAATATCATAAACATTGACCTACTACTAAATGGACCTCGGCTCTGCGCTCAAGTGTCCGAGTCAAAAGAGTTCCAAAATGCAAAAAGAGTTCCAATTGCGTTCCAAAATACCGAACTGTATCACAAAACGAACAAAACTATTTATATTTATAATCTATACAAATAAATAAAATTGAAGTCTCTGTTTGTAATGTAAAAATTACAGTTTTTTACTAAATGCATATGAAAGTAAATACGGTAAGTACTTATAACTAAAATACAATTTTTAAAATTTTTGTCTGTCTGTCTGTCTGTTTGTTCCCCGTAATCTCCGTAACGGCTGGACCGATTTTGACGGGGATTTCACCGGCAGATAGCTGATTTCATAAGGAGTTACTTAGGCTACATTTATTTTAGAAAAGTATTTAGGGTTCCGCACAAAAACATAAAAACCTTAACACGCGAGCGAAGTCGCGGGGAACAGCTAGTTTATATATATTTTCGATAAGGACTATTAATATTTAATCATTTAAAAGTAATATTTTACATAGATTAGTATTTAAATTCAATTCACATTAATTGTAAAATCTAAAAATCATACCGATAATTTTCGTTAGAAGCTGCATAAGATGATAACAGTTTCTGGTTGAAGTTGAAAGGCTGCTAAATTGTCGCAATTAAAATTGTATATATAATACGCTTATATAGGTTGACTCGGGACACATTTTTCGTGTATTTTGTTCTAGGCCCGCCGTCCATTTAGTAGTAGGTCAATGATCATAAATAATAATTTATTTATTCTTTATTGTATTCCTTAATATAAAAGAATACAAAGGGCGGACTTTATGCCTTGAGGCATTCTCTACCAGTCAACCCATGGAGTGGTGAGAATTTGACGTAGGTGTAGCAATATAGAATAAAAACAAAATAAAAAATAAATAAATACATAAAGACATATATACGTCTGTTAACAATATATTAATTCTTAAGATTAAGATACTTTATGTTTCGTGCAATAAAGAATATCTATATAACTGTCTAACATCCTTGAACACACACAAACACACACAAACACACACACACACACACAAAAAAGGTGTGCGGACTGCGGACAAAGACAGTGCCGATGTAAGAGTAGATCATTCAAAATTGGCGGTTGTTTGAATGGAGTGTCAGGAAGATGACTACAGATTTATAATATAAAGTAATAAAAAGTACTCGAGGTTACAAAAACATCGATGTTTCTAACCGATGCATCGAAATACATCGATGCACATTCTCGATGCATCACATCGAAAAAAAACATCGATATATTTTCAAAATGGACACCTCTAAAGCGTCTCCCACACACAAGCGGCTTGCGGTGGCGGCTGACCGTGAGCCGCGGCTCCAGTCGCTGCAACAACACACCACCGCGGTCGCAGCGGCGGCCTGAAATACCATTCGCTGAGGTGTCTGTGCTACGATTGGACGGCAGTAACATGACTAACCGTGACTAAGTCTTATTATATTCTGCAATATTATTATATATTTTGTTTTTAATACTAATGCTTTTGTGATCACGATGCGAATTATCATAAAGTACTGACTAATTTTGCACTGTTTCTATTGAAATCTCTGAATTTAGCACCATTTTTCACGCGGTACACGCGGCCTGTTGTAAAAATTTGCAACTGACCGCGTACTCGCTAACACACCCGCGTTGGCATAAGGGGTGGAGCATGCGGCCGCGGCCAGCCGCTCGCAGATCGCGACATGGCCGCACGGGCTTGCAGACTCACTTACATTGCAAGCGAATACAACTAACCCCCACCGCGGCCGCCACCGCAAGCCGCTCCTGTGTGGGAGACGCTTAACACGAGTAGCTCGAGTTGACCTGACATGACTAATAAAAACATAAAAAATTATCATTATCAAAAATCTACAAAAATCTAAGAAATACGTTTTGACGTTTCACATTAATCATTCCGCAATAACTTTGTACAAGCGTACTCACAAGATTTAAAATAACCTTTTACGCAAATCCAGTGAATTATGAAGTTAACTATGTTTCATTACAACATCTATAGTTGTTTATCACCAATTCAAGTTCAAATCTTACAGATAAAGCAAAATATAAAAAAATTAACCAGTCAACTTTTTTGCCTGTCGTTGTTACAATGATATATCGCTATGTATCTTACCGTACCGTAAAACCGGCCATAATTGCCCGCAATTTTACAAAATTTTGAGATTTTGCTAAAAGTATTTACAAGAATGCGTAATTAAGTTGATCAATATATCA